ATTAAAAGTTGTTATAGATTTCAGAGCCCATTATATGTTAAAAATAATGGCTTTCAATACTGTAATGTTGAATGGCTATAATTAATAGGTAAAATTGAGGGAAAATGCACCAGCAGGACAAAAACTTTGTAAATATGTTTAGTTATTGTAGTAGTAATAACTGCCTGTTTTTGCAAAAAGAGTTTCATGGCCGGTAAAAACAATTTTGGCCGGTAAATTTTAAAAATTGTGCAAAAAGTTAGTTTTAGGCCCTGTATACATATATACATATATATATATTAGGGCTGTCAATCGATAATTTTTAATCTGATTAATCATATCCTTTTTCTGTGATTAATCGCACACTTCATGAAATTAAGCATAGACCATTTATCTTGTTTCAAATGTTTATTTTGTCATAATTTGCTATATCCAGCAAAGTAAACCAGAAGATTGAAGGGTGATTCTTAAAAATCTGTATTTTCTGCAAGTTTTTTCATGATAAATTTAGATGTCTTTCCAAAAAAGGACACTTAGAAACTCCAAAAGGACACCAAAGAACCAAATGATGTAAGGAGCCCATATAAGCATATATGAAAGAAAAAAAAAAAAAACAGAATTTTATAGTACGTGTACAGTGCAACAGCAAAGAGCTTTTTTACATTTTAGAGAAGCCAAGTTGCGATACCGAACAGAACCACATGGAGATGCCAAAAAAAAAAAAACTAAACCAACCGCCTGCTTACTGCATATATCTACTACAGTACACGGATCCATTCCGTATAAATAAACACAGCAACATAAACATGACAAATCAAAACATTATCGTGAATGTGTGTGGAAACAACGTGAATGTACGGAAATGTCTGTGCCTGTGCATAAACACAATGTTCGATCAGTGTGTCAAGAGCACTCATACACGCACTCTTCAGAGACAATCGCAGAATATGACAGAGCTCGTGTTTTAAAGCGAAACGCACTGGAATTAATAATTCACTTAAAACGCAACGCATGTATCGTGATTAATCGCATGATTGTCATGAGTTAACTCATGATTAATCGCAACTTAATCACATTTTTATCTGTTCTAAATGTACCTTAAATTAATATTTTCCAAGTTTTTAATACTCTAATCAACATGGGCATGGACAAATATGAATGCTTTATGCAAATGTATGTTTATTATTAGTAAAACGTAGAGGGGAGCGTGCATTTGCGGTGGCAGGGCCACGACTCTGGAATACCCTACCTTTAGAGATTAGAATGGCCCCTTCTTTGTCTGTTTTTAAGTCCTTGCTAAAAACGTATTTGTTTTCCTTAGTGTATTGACTACTGTGATATGTTAATTTTTAACCGTGCGGTTTTAAATTTTTGTCTGGTTTGTTCTCTGTGTATGTGGTAAAATTGTTGCTCTTCTGAAAAGCACTTTGGTCAGCCTGGTGGCTGTTGTATATGTGCTCTACAAATAAAATGAA